TATATATATATATATATATATATATATATACTAATAAATAAATAACTTTTGGGACATGTGTCATGCTTTTGTGCGACGGTTATTGATTTTTCCCGCCTAAACATGTATCTAGACACAATTTTCATTTACGTCCCCCAGACTTACAACATAACTCTGGAAAAATTCACGTCTGAATTTAAAATTTCAAATTCGGATTTTTGAAGCATTTTTCACAAAGCAATATTACCCGTGAAAAAAAATTAGAAGAACATGCACTCTTAGTACTTAATTAATTATTAATAATGTGAATTTAATTAATTTATATAGTTATTAAAAGAATATTAATACCCTATTAATTAATAACAATGTAAAGTTAATTAATTTATAACATCTATATACCTAATAAATAAGTAACTTTGGAGACACGTGTATTTAATTAATTAATTAATAATTTTGTATATGTAACATTTAATTCTCGAGTAAGAGCATTTTTATATATAAAATTTTAATCGGACTTGTACCTTTGTCTACGTTTATAAATTACTTCCGATTATTAATTCTTTATAAAATACATATCAGTTTCGTTTAATTTTTGTCATTAACCCGTGTATTACATGGGTTAATGAAAAAAATTAAACGAAACTGATATGTATTTTATAAAGAATTAATAATCGGAGATAATTTATAAACGTAGACAAAGGTACAAGTCCGATTAAATTTTTTATATAAAGATGCTCTTACTCGAGAATTAAATGTTACATATACAAAGGACGACATAACTCTGAGTTGTCTTCTAAGTCTAGAAAGTATCTACGAGCATAACTTTGAGTCACAAGAATTTTGATTTCTTATAACATACAAACGTAACTCTGAAGAGGAGTTTAGAGTTGTATTCTAAGTCTGGGAATAAACTATATAACTAAGTTTGGAACAGAACAATTCAGAGTTATGTTGTAAGTCTGAGAAATAACCAATATCTGATGACTTCATGTTGACGATTTGTATCATTAATGTCATTTATGTGTAATGGGATTAAATTGTTGACCAATGTAATCATGATAAATATTGAACAGGTAAAGCAGGTGCGGAGTGCACACTTGTTTGAGTTTATTTTGATTTAGGGTCGAAGCCCCTAACAGAAAGGGTCCGGGGATAGCGCCCCAGGTGGCGGGGTCCAAGGGACAGAGCCCCTGGCTGGGGTCGAGCTGACAGGTCAGTTTAGAAAATTTTTTCCCGGGTAATATTGGTTTGTGAAAAATGCTTCAAAAATGCGAATTTGAAATTTTAAACCCGGTTTCGATGACCACTCCAGAGTTAAATTCAGACGTGAATTTTTCCAGAATTATGTTGTAAGTCTGGGGACCGTAAGTAAAAATTGTGTTTTAGGCGGGAAAAATCAACAACCGTTGCACTGAAACGTGAAACGTGTTCCCAAAGTTACTTATTTACTAGTATTATAGATGTGTGTATATAAATTAATTAACTTCATATTATTATTAATTAATAAGATATTAAAATTCTTTTAATAATTATATAAATTAATTAAATTCACATTATTATTAATTAATTAATTAACTAAGTACACGTGTCCCCAAAATTACTTATTTATTAGGTATATAGATGT